CTGTGGGGGGAGGGGGTATGGATAATTTCTGGAACTACACAATGTCAAAAAAAACTTCGATTGATCGCCACCAAAACCTTCTTTTTGCAAGCAGCAACCATTAGCATAACATCTTACCTCCAAAAGCTGCATATTCCATATTTTCTCATCCATCAATAATGACCTTGGTTTAGAATACTTTACACCCATACTTCTATGGATTCCTAGGAATTACATTCCCACAACTATACTGTTAACTGTAAACTTACATACTGGACAAAAATATGTCCTGATATAAAAAAGCATTTTCATAACGTTTGGCTTTTCATAGATTTGTTGATAATTTTTCGTCATAAATCTAGAATAGCATAAAGCTTTTGCAAGAGAAAATGAACTAAGAGAAGGAATTCCCCCTAAACAGCCTTGTAACCATCATGTGCACAGTTTGATGCTATTCTTAAACCTTTTTTTTCTGCACGCGCATTTACTGCGCGCTCTCTACGTTTTTGGGGTTTTTCCGTTAATTCGACTCTGCCCTGAATATGAATGTGCACGTCGAAAGCTTGGCAAACACGACAGGAAATTGAAGTAGTAATTTGTTCAACTTTCTGGAGTACTTTTACATGTCTTTTCCAAAGCTTTCGACCTATATCGTCATCTTGAGAGGGCAGATTTGAACATTTGAACATAAGAAAAGCACAAGAAAACGTTAGCAAACAGCGTAGAGCGCGCGCGTACTGTGCGCGTGCAGAAAATCAAACGATCAAATAAATGATATCATTGGATGATATTTTTAGAATAGATTCTAAAAATAGCATCAAAGTGTGCACATGATGGGGCACGGGGATTCCTTCTCTTAGTTCATATTCTCTTGGTTTTTGGCATGTATTCACAACCACGTTATCTCAAATTTATGAGCCAGGAAATGGTTCTTTATTGGAAAGATGTTGGAAACAAATGATAATTATGTTGTTAATGTTGTGGATTTTGTAATACTTACCTATACACCTTGCACAAACACATATACAATAATTGACAGAAGCCCACACTGGATCTAAATTACAACAAGAAAACAGAAGATATTACAAAAGGCTAATCAAGACTAATAATCTTCACTCATACCTAGGGATAGCAATAATACAGGAATGAAGTATTTTTATATACCTTTACAGGAAACTATAACAATAAAGCTAAAAGCTTATCTTTTCCACAGCTAGAACAAAACTTGTCCTCATCCTTTTGAATGCTCAAACATATAGCCAAGCATACATTATGATGGCAGATAAATGTGTTACACCATTAGTGAATAAAGGCATTTTCATTCAAGTACACACCTTTTTTCCCACAATCTGCACATTTTTTATTTGCAGGATTTGACCAAACTTGGTTAATTACCTAGGAAACCAAATATTCATCAATAGTTTGCCAAATAATAATAATTAATAATAATAATAATTAAAGTACACTMAACAAAATTACTCGACTCTGATTGGTCGAGAGGAGTACAATTATAGCGTTAATTGTACTCCGTAGGTGTACCGAATTAAGTCGCTATGGCAACACGGCCAAAACAATGTCAAAACAATTATTTTCTATCATTTTGTACTTAAAAACATAAATAAAATTTTAAAGCCGTTTTTATGCATTTCAGTTGCGCGATGGACTGAAAATCGGCCGTCAAATAGACAAAGATGAACGGCGTCGCTTCGCATTTTTTACTGAAATTTTGTTGAGTGAACTATAAACAAAAAATCGCACGATCTTCTCGTACAAAAGGCTTGTGCAATTACAAGAACTTTCAAAATATTACTCGTGTCTATTAATTTCCAAATTGTACTCGAGATCGTGCGATTTCCTATACTAATAATAATCATAAAAATAAAAATAAAAATAAAAATTAGGATAATTATAATGATAATACATAACTATAATGATTATGTTTGTAGTTACAAAAAGAAAAAAGTAAAGTTATGATATCTATAATATGAAATTTGACAATTAAATTGTGCGTAGTCCAATTAGAACTAAAATATCTAATTTAAACTATTTAGATTCCAAATTCATTGTTTAAAGCCAGTCTGTTTCTATAAGCACTTTTATATCGTTCAATGTTGACAACACAACACAAGAATGGAATGGTCTTCAAATTAGGGCAGCTGATACAGTGAATGGTCGAAAGTACTCTAGATTCTACTAAATAATCTAGTGTCTAGTTTTTGAAGGGCTGCGAGAATATCTAAACGGTTTGGAAATATACCTCCGCTTATAACACCTATCTAAAAAGTTTTGTACAGTATATTATATTATTGTACATTATATCTGGTCCAGAACCATAAATCGAACTGGAAATCAAATTGCCTGGAAATCAATGTTGATATGGATCATTCCATTTCATGTATCGACATTCAAGTTTCGCCTGCAACTTTCAAAACATTGTCCTTCACGAATCAACATCAAAGTATTCACCGCCCAAAAGTATTGTGTCAGTATGACGCTATACAATCCACAGGAAAACCGCATCTGTACCTACAATTTTCTCATAGGCCGGGGTAGTAGACATTAGTAGAGTATTTTTATCGTATTTATTTCTCGAGGTTAACGTAGGTTAGCGTAGTGCCGCAAAGATTGGTTATTTTGCCGTGAATATTTTTCGTACTGCCGTGTGAATTTTGATTTGCCGTAACAGTTATGGGCCACCGTATGTTGCAGATGTGCATCAATAAATTAACTCACTGCATGATCACTGAGTCCCATCTGAATTGCCGTCTGAATGGCTGAAATCCAGGAAGCTGCTTCAAACTCATTCTCGGCTTGAAAACTGAATAAACAGTAAGTAAATATTATATATATTGAAATAAAAGAAGCTTTTTATTACAAATTTATGGTGCCTGCATATTGCGTATTTGGAAGTGAAAACATAATAAATTAGCAGGAATTCTTTTTCTCCCTCACTGACAAAGAAAGGAATGCATGCCTGCCAGCAATTAAAGGTAATATTGCTATAAAATATTATCGAATGTTATCAAGCCATACTAACTGTCTTACCTGAATGCTTTATAAGGAGTTACAATGAGGAACCTGTTCCTGTGGCCAAGGTCTTGTTTGACGGAAGCTAGTTTGGCTTCTACACAGTGTATTGGTGTCTCATAGGTAAAGTCCTAAATATAACAGAAATATATAAATCATTAATAGTAATACATAGAAGGCAAAAAATAATACAGAGAATAAACTCCTCTGAAAAGCGAAGTCGGGCTTTTGGTTTCATAGTTTTGATTTTTCTGGACAGTGCTTTTAGCCATGAATCTTTTGACCTCTGAGTCTTACAAAGTGAAGATAAGATGAGAAGTGATCGACCAAGTAAACAGTAAAACTTGTTAGACAAATTTTCTCAACATGTCAAAAATTCGATTGCATAAGAGGATTCTGTTCACTTACTTCAAATGAGCATTTGACTCATAAAAGTCTAGTTTAGACGTTTATTCTATTATTTAGTTACTCCAACTCGCATCTAGCATCTTTCCTTGATTCTTTTCATATAATTACATCCGAAAGTAAAGCTACTAACAGCAAAATGTCGATAAATAATCGAATGGTAAATGTAGACGAAGCAGACGAAGTAAGACGATAGTGTTAAACTTCTAAAGTGGCTGACTTCTTTTGAACGTTCGATTTGAGCCCACGAAGTGCGCGCGCTCAAAAACCGCTGAATACTCTTCACAATTTTATTGAAGAACCATACACGTTTTGAACTTCAAAAGGGCAAAACCCTCAAATTTTGCACGGGACTCTATACTTTTTATGAGCTTATTCGAAAAACTCCTTTAAATCTAGGATATATCATTTACTTTATTTATTTATATTTTCTTTTAGAAAAAATGATTTTTCTAACACATGAAAAAATAGATTTTTGTAGGGGATTTCGTTCGACTTTATAAGAGTTTTTGAAAGCGCTGAAAGTACAAAATATGATAAATCGATGTGATTTTTTGTCGTTTTGTCAAAAACATCCTCGTATTATTGTAGAATAATACACTAGCCGTCATTTGTAGTGCAATTTTAGAGTCTGCAAAAAATATTATCTAATAAATCTTTTTTTTTCCTGATCACTTCCACTGGCGCACTTTTTGCTTCAAAAACTCGCACGTAGGCATCCATTAAATGCTGATTATCTCGAAAACAAGCTCGGGACACCCCATTTTTCATAAGCAATTCATAACTCATAAGCACTCGCCTACGGCTCGTGATCTTGAACTTTTTCTCGTGTTTATMCCAACATCCCGCGCGCTCTATACAACTTAGTGAGTCATACAACTTAGCTTCCATTACTTAAACAGTAGTACATGTTCTCTGGATGTTTTGTAGCCGTACAAAAAAGCAGATTACTCAGATAAAAGAAAAATATTATGAACCAACAAATATGAAGTAAAACTCAGAGGAAAATGAGACTAACCTCATAGGTGTCATAGTAACAAATAATGTCTTCCTTAATAGCAACATATCTAAAACGAAAAAGAGAAATGAATTAAAAAAAGATATTTGAGATATATAAGGTCTGTGTAAACGCCTTTTTCATCGCCCTGATGATGGAGTCGATCTTCAAAAAGCTCTATTTTATCTATTTTTATTTTTTTCCGGTCCCGCGAGTTTGCAGTATTTTCTTTCTCTGCCCGCGCCTACGCACAGCGTAATAGGTCTGCAAGAGTTATATCAGCAGCTGCTTCCAACAAAGCTTTTCTATCACAGGAAGACAGGTACCAGTGTCAGCGGAGATGAGAAGAGTCGATTGTGCGGCAAAGGCCCGGAAAGTGTCTCACACTTCCTAGCGGGGTGTAGTGCGCTTGCGCAAAGGAAATACCTATCGCGACATAACGACGCCCAAGATCCTGTTCTTTGAAGTCCTCAGATCTCTAGACCTGGTGACAACGGTGGGTCCTTGGTACTCAGATTCAAATGCTTAAACGCTGCACCCAAGCAAAGTTAACTGCTCTGTAGAAGGGGACCGTCTAAAAGGATGACAAGAACTGTGGTACCTACCTCCTTTTCCAGTCTCCCATGACATTATGACCTTGTTTTTTCAGCCATCCCTGCATAAAAATCAACCAAAACTAGTTTCAACACTGGCAGGTATCACAGTAATGTCAGAAGTTAATTGCCGAGTTTACTTTCGTATTGACCTAGATAATGGAAAGGCTAATGCCTTGCATATATGACTTCAAACAACTAATTTAAAGAAGATTTGTTGGCAGCTATTTATATATAATTTGAGCTTAAAAAAACCTGCATTATTATACCATTTAACCTCCGAAAACAAGCCCCACTAATTTATGGCAAAAACCTTCCTATAATAAGCCCACCCCTCCCCCCCCGAAAATAAGCCCCCTTAATTTATGACAAAAACGTTCCTATAATAAGCTCCCCCCCCNCCCCCCCCCCCAATACAAGCCCATGAGTATTTAAAGGATTGACCCGAAAATATGTTATACCGTAGTCAAGATAAATGTCGTATTTTAAAAGTATACTTTATTATTAAAACAATCCCCAGAATTCGTAGGTTCCCGTCCTTTCCCTGTAATAAAAATGAATTGCTTCTAAATAAAAGGGAACATACTTCTTTGTCAGGATCGCTCATCATACCACCATTCTTCTTAGTAGAATCGTCTCCCTAATGTAATATAAAAATAAAATAAATATAAAAATAAATAAATTGACTTTATTTAACGAGAGTGACATACATTACTGGTAGCCCAGTAGTTTCCATTATGGCCGTCATACAATTAATAAACTGAAGACACGTAARCCGTAATATAAAAGAAAGGTAATTGTGTTCTTCACGACCTGCTGACCGACGTTGCTCGACAACTCATGTTTAACTATTGGCTGATTGTCAGTCAACATTTTAACTTCACCAACACTATATAAGGTTTAGTTTTGTTCTAACTTATGCCATGAAAGATTAGCCCAGATTCATGCCGCATGAAGGGTACAACTATCCCCATGTGTTCTCTAATATTTTTAATAAAACGGCACTTACTGACTGTGTCTAGTATAAGTTAATCTATCATAATACACTCAACAAAATTACTCGATTCTGATTGGACAAGAGAAGTACAATTCCAAATTATACCTTTGTTGAGTTTATTATAAACAAAAAATCGCACAATCTTCTCGTACAATTCTGAATTTATAGATACTTGTGATGTTTTGAAAGTTCTCGAATTGGACTTGTCTAAAGGCTCGTCYAATTTTGAAAACTTTCAAAACATCACTCGTACCTATAAATTACGAATTGGACTCAAGATCTTGTGATTTCCTATACAAACTATTAATAGTCTATTGCAAATACTGCACTATGATTAGCTACTTCTGGTCAGGTCTATCAGTGATATACCACTAGTAAGTAGCAAAAAGGGCTGGTTTTGAAAATCAAAACATTGGTAGCTATAACCTGCGTTTTCAAAATACTTTTACAAGTGTTTGTAGCCTTTTTTGACCGATTAGTAGGTTTAGACTAAAACAATTAGACCTTTCTCCCTCGTGGTCAATAGTGTATTCAACCTCTAGCCTTTGGTCTTATGGGCTATTGACTTGTAGACCATTCAAACTACGGGTATAATTTTAAGGTAGTTCCAGACCTTTGCTACTGGGCATCTCGTTTTTTACCGTTTATTAGCTTTTTTTTTAAAAATTCTCAAATAGTATCTTACTTTGACTACCTTTTTTTAATCTGACAAAAGATTTCGTAATTTCATGCCAGTGTTGAGGTAAAATTGGGCGTTTTTTGAAATATGCTAAGATTTTTATTGTGTGACCTGGTCGATTTTGTTTCAAAATTGAGAAATATACGACTTTGTAAAAATGAATTAACAAAAAATATTTTGACCTCTTTAGCTCCAAAATCAATTCAAAACAGGTTTTAGTATCCTTGAAAGCTTGTGAGATTGTCTTTGTAATCTTCAGGGACCCTAAAGCCTATTTTGAATTGATTTTGGAACTAAAGAGGTTAAAATAATTTTTCTACCAACCAGTGCCAGAAACGACATGTAGTAAATACAACATAGGCTTCTATCTAAATGGCTGTATTTACTGAAAGTCTATGGAATGGAGGTTTTATCCTAAAAGCCAATCTAAACACTAGATAATATATTAAATATGTGGATGTGTCATGTACCTTATACTGCAGAATAGCCTCCATGAGTGTTTGAGCCCAAAGATTTGTGTCAGCTAAAAACAGACATGACTTAAAATGAATGTAATTATGAACAGATGAAATAGTATAAATTAAATGAATGGATGGATGATGGTGTAGATAAATGGAATGGACTTTTGGATAGAGGGATGGGGTGCATAAAAATAAATTATTGACATGCAGATGAATGTGATAGATACAGATAACTGTTGAATCAGTTGCTCAGAACTTACTCATTGAGTCAGACGATAACATAAACACCCTGTTGGCAGTAATGAGATTGAATCTTCCTTTCTTTGCCTGAAGAGGTGAACAGAAGTTTAAGCAAAATACAATTACAAAAAAAATTTGTAGTAGGAGGGTTAATCATTGAGTATAATTATTGGCTATCACCATTTACTTACCTCTTTTTCAAACTCTATATTTTTCATCTGACTAACTGGGATGACATGTAAAGACTCTTGAGTATTTTCCTTCACAAAAAAAAATCAATCATTGTGATAATCTCGGCATAGACTTTTTCTGAGATAGCGAACATGGTGCACTGTAGTCTAGCTTTGGTACAAACACCTTTTGTTCATCATGCCTTATATGTTATGGTATTGTTTGTTCCAAATCTAGACCACTGAATGCATCTGCTTATTGAACTCAGAAAAGGCCTACGCAATGAAATGTTTTTTCCTATTTCAGTAAATGTGTACAGCTATTTCAAAAAAGGTTGAATACTGAATACTGCATACTGAATAGTGCATACTGAATAGTGCATTCCAAGACCACAGTGCATTGTGGTTCATAGGACATTGTCTAAAGTAGCATTAAAAATAATTATTTATTTATTCTATTTTTAGTGTATTCCATCTGAAACAATATACTAGCTACATGTAGAGAGTTAATTGCTGTATTATTATTTACTTTTTATTTCAAATTAATAAGACCCACAATGCACTTCGGTCTTGGAATGCACTATTTAGTATTCAATATTCAACCTTTTTTTGAAATAGCTGTAGTCAAACAAAATATTGTTTTTGAATAAGTTTAACATTTTATGAGTTAATCACATTCAAAAACAATATTTTGTCTGACTGTTGGTTTCTTTTAAATGTATCTTCTCAATTCCTACAGGGGGAAAAATGGGTAAACATTTACACCCCAAGAAAAAGAGGTACTGTATATTGCGACCTAGCTGTCATGTAAAGTCTACAGTAGGTGTCTGTCTGAATCTAGGTGTTTGACAGTAAAGGCATGTGATGAAGACATATTATGTTTTGCGAGGGTATAAATGGTTTTCACATGAGTTGGAAACAGTGTCATTGCCACATGCACCCATTATCAGAATAAAGAAGAGTAAGGCAAGAACGATGGTTATAAGGCAAAGAAATTGCTATCTCATCTGGTAGTGTCAGGGTAGAAAAGCATGCAGTGATCTGAGGGTTGAAAACTGTTGGTGTCCCTGAAATGGAACTTTAATAAATGGCAGTAGTGAAAATGAAAAAAAAATAAAAATAAAAACAATAAATGAAAAGTAGTGAAAATGAAAAAAAAAAACTGCAGGCTAAAATATATTTTAGCCCCCTGCCATCATCCAATTATAAACAAGAAAAATAATTGATCCAGCCAATAAGACAAGGAGAAACCACTCAAATGTTAGTTAGCTTGGCATTTTTTTTTGCTTTTCACTCCCTGGCGTCTTTGCATCTCATGCACTGCTCACAAAATTATGGAATCAAAAATGACAGAAAAATCAATGGAAGAGTGTCTAGAAGAGCAAAATTCCCATTCCTCAGAGCTACTGTAGTCGAAGAAAATCTCATTTCTAAAGAACCTCGAAGAGAAATTGGTTGAGAGTTATAGTTGCTAGTGGAAGCAAAACAGTTCTCAACCATATATAGTTCTCAACCATTGTTAGTCTGAAAAAAGTTCACTTCAAGCTAGCTTTTATTCCCAATAATTATTTGCCATTTTACTGTATATAATATAAAGTTCTTAACAAATGCATCATACAATGTCTCGATGCTTTTTACAAAAGGACCAGATGGATGTCAAGTTCGTTGAAAAAATTGCAAAAAAAGTCAGTTACTCCTGGTGAACAGGTAGTGTTTTAGTGCAGATTTATACTCTGGAACTGAACTTGAGTACTTAATTGCATCAGGGACATTGTTCCAGAATGCCGGTGCAGCCAAAGCTAAGGTTCTTTTTCCAAACGTTGATGTCTTTGGTCTTGGAGTCACAAGCAGAAATTTAAAGGAGGAACGTAGGGTACGTTTGGGCTGATACAACTTGAGGAGATCAGAGAGGTACTGAGGTGCAAGGTCGTTAAGGAAATTGAAGAGAAGATTGATTTCATGTTTTATAAAAATCAATGTTTATAACTTTAAACTTAATAATATATCCTGCAATCACATACTAAAGAAGTAAATATTGTTACAATTATTATTATTATTATCATTATAATATCAATGGTTGTTTTTATGTTTCTCTTCTTTTTTCTGATGGCTGTCATCACAAGCCAGCCAAAAAGTCAATGACACTGTTTCAAACTCACGTGGAAACTGTAAAACTTTGCAAAGCATTTTTTGAAATTCAACATTGTTTGACATCGGTCGTACAGCATTCAGAAAGAAAAATTAACATACCTTGCATCTGTAGTATCTCAATTCTTTGCCATCAAAGACAAACCATCTTTTTTTCCATCCTCGGTTATTCTGTTGACTAAAAGCAATATAGAATAAGAATATTGCATATAAAGTAGAAGCATTTGAGGGGGAAATGGAAGACCCTTTTTTGTGTGCCCCTCAAACAGTCTTGTCGTGGAAACATTTTAAATTGAAAAAAGGCATTTGCAAAAGCTATGTTCACAAAATGTATATATGGGAGAGGTTGATTTTTAAATACATACCCTCCTTGCTTAAAAAGATAGCCAGAAGTTTTGCGTGATTTCTGAAAAGAAAAAAATGGTTAAAAGAGCAGAAAGAAACTCCCTCCATCCAGGTGATAGCAAAAAAGTTTTCATATCAGTTCATTTGGTGTGTGTTATACAACAACTAGTTCAAAATTGTGCTTAGCATATGCCCCCCATGAAATTTTTTTGGGGGGCCACAAAATATTGGTTCACAGTCATAGTTTTACTGCGCATGTGTCTGCAATCAAACAAAACAGCGGTCATTATCACATAAGGTTAAATATAATATTTCAGTGCCCCCCCCCCAAAAGATTTTCAGCTTCCACCGCCCCTGTTAAGAGCTAAGGAGGCTTGTGGCTTGTTATTTTTCCCTTTTTTTTCAGCTGTTTTTGATTTGAAGTAAAGGTTTTCCTTGTTTTTTCAAAAACCTGACCCTCGATGGTGCTCTCTGACCACAGTGTTTACCCCTCTGATTGCCACATCATTTGAAATTGAGAAATTATCAGCAAGCTAGGGATTTATGGGAATGGTATAGGGTATGTTTCTAGTAGAAAGACAAACAAAACTAATAGCATATTTTAAAACTAAAGCAAATATATTTGCAGTCAAATATAGTACATACTGGTGTTACAGACTTTGGCAGCTTTGCATCAAATGAGTCAGTACTGTCTCYTCTTGTCTGAAAAAAAACAACACATAAAGGTAAGTAGCAGCCTACCATATAGACAAATAAAGCACACACTGCTATACTACTGCATCCCAGTTAACTCGGTTGGTTGGCACCAGTCTGTTGTGCGGTGAGTCGTGGGTTGAAGCCTCCTGACTAACACTCAGAATCTTAAAATATTTGAGTAAAAGATGCTGCCTTTGCTCTAAGAATATCTGCAATTGGTTAGCCTTTGCCCAGGGTCAGATGAACATGTAAAATGGTGTTCCGTCTCACTTAAACACGTTAAAATGCAGAGGGCCAAACATTTAGTGCTGAGTTGCCTACTGTCACATCACCCTCTCTAAACAAAGACATTATTATTATCATTATGCAACTACATCATGACACTATGAAGCAGGCAAGTTGAGCCCACAAATTGTGTACATGTACAAAAACTACTCAAAACTGCTAAATAATGTAACTTTCAAACTTTACATGATATAAACGAATCAACAGGAGGGAACCAAATTTTGCACTCGACTCCAGAATTTCACAAAGTTAAAAGAAATAATAACATGGGTTTGACCCCGGGGGGAGGGGGGGGGGTACTCCGCCAGAATTTGGGTAGGGGTGATCTGCTGGGATTCTGAAAGGGGTACCCTGTTTATGACAAAAAAACTCAAATTTGTAGACCCTGTTTATGACAAAAGATATAATTAATTGCACTGAGTTCCTGTTTCAATTATCATGTCAGCTCGCGTATTGTTTTTTTGATGACCATAATAACCAGTTTTGGTCAATACGAAAGTAGAAACCCTGAATATGACAGGAAACTCAGGAAGAACTTGGAACTTGAGTGAAATTGCATACCCTGTTTATGACAAGAAGCTCGAAAAACTATACCCTGTTCAGCGGATCATCCCCGTATAGTCCATATATGGGAATACCCCCCCCCCCCGGGGGTTTTACTTTACTTTGAGGAATTTTTCCCAGTTCTCTGGTAATTTCCTCCCTCATCAAAAATCATCAATTCAAATTCTATTTTGATGATGAATTCAAAATCAGGGTTAAAGGTTGAACTTTAACATACATGTAGGCAGACTGTATAAGTTGTGACCCAGTGGGCATAGGGACAACTGAAATCCCACTTTGCATAAAATGTTTATACCTTTCTTTCCTCTGGCAATTCTGGTGGTTCTTCCAAAAGAAGCCCCTCTGTTGATTCATCACTCTCATAATCATAGATGACATCTTCAGCTGTGCTCTTCTTTTTCTTAGAAGGCTCTATCTCTCCAGCCATAGAGTAATCATTTGGATTATTTGATTTACCATAATCATTCAGAGGCTCATAGATTTCTTCTTGACTTTCTGGACGATTCCTGTCATTTGGCATTTTTACAACTTCATATGTCCCCAAATATTCTGAGGAGACTGAAATAAAAGAAAAAAAACAAAGAGGACAATATTTATTCTGACCTTTATTCTGAAAAGCCTTAAAGAGGACGAATAAAGTATGTATGTATGTAATATTATCAACGCCTTGTTTTTTCTTAAGGAAATGCCTTTCTTCAGCAATCAATATTGTGTATGAACAGGCAATCAATTGACTATAACTAGCAGCAGCAAACCATGATTATAAGCTATTGTGGACTGATCAACCATGATCAACCATGCTCCACCCATCAAAATTGCAGTGTCACAAAAACAGTCCATTGACTGAAGCAAAGGTTGATAGTAATTGTTTGGTAGGCCAATGATAAGTTTTTATTTAACTTTGAAATCAAATATTTTGTGTAATTCACTTAAATCATATACCTAGTATAATAGTAATAAATTATGCATTCGGTGTGTATAATGAAGTAGAGAGAAAAATATCAAATGCCCTATCATATACCATAATATTATAATATTATTAATACTATTAATAATAGTATATTATACTCTAAAGTTCAAGTTGATTCTGAAATGATTCAGAATAATATCAGATATTTCCGTAAACATTTGTATCCCAATTCTAAATATGACAGGGGTTTCCTTTATTTAATTTACACTTTGTTTCTTTAATTACCCCTTTCCATTGTCCACAATTTTTCCAATGTTGTGCATTTGAATACCTCATGCATTACATGCAATGCCTGATTGCTTTACGAAAGTTGGTAAATCAATGTGTTGATGCTCATCTGCTACAATACTAGAGTCTATCACTCTGTTTTTCTGTCAGTATTCAGTGTTCATATACCAGCACCCCTTTTAATGCCAATTCTTAGATCTACACAYTAAATATGTAACTATAATAATTGACAGAGGATGTGCACTACATGTACTATCCTAAATAGATCACAATCTCACTTTGTCCACAGGCCAGATAATTTAGGCAAAAAAAGAATTCCTATAATTGGTGCCTTTATATATAAAAGCTCTAAATGAAGTGGCGGGCCAAAAGTTGGTGACTATGAATATACAATCACAAAACTAAAAAATTCAGTCAACAATGTCAAACCATGTTGTAACATAAACAAACCTTCCTGAAATATTGTGTTTCAACTGAAAAGAATTGAACTTTCAGATTATATTTTTAGTCTTAGCTAGTTTAAGACCCTATTAATTTATTCAATCAATATGAGCATCACAAAATTATTTTCATTTAATCATAAAGTCTTCATGCAAATATATCTATCATATTTATATATTTATTGCAATATGCAGAAACCTTTATATATTTTATAGTCAAAACTGCAGTATATATTTATATATTTACATATTCACATATTTACACATTTATGCATACATTTGCATATTTACATATTTACATGCTTATATATTTACTAAGTACTGTTTAATAAACGAGCAGGAGTGTTTCATTGGGTATGAAACATGAGGCATAGCCGAGTGGTTTTAGACCCAATAAAACACGATCTACGAGTTTATTAAACGGCTTAAAAAACTCATGATGTATGTTCTCATACTATACCGAATTCTTTACAAAATGAACCAAGTTTGATAGAGAAAATCCAAGTTAAAGTTTATGCAAATGAAGACGAATCTATATCAGATATAAAACCTCCTTCATGGTCATGATTTCTATTGTGTTTCTTTCATGAATCATTAATGAGTTTTTTAAGTAGTGTTTAAAAAACGAGGAGTGTTTTATCGGGTATAAAAGCACGAGGTGTAGCCAAGTGCTTTTATACCTGATAAAACACGATCTACGAGTTTTTTGAACTGCCTAAAACACTCATGAACAATTTATAAGATTTTGGTTCAACTGGAGCCACCATACACCGCACGAACATGGATTTTTATACTTTGATAGAGATTTGACGTCATGGGCATGCGCAACTAGATTCAATAGAAGCTCCCACACGTTGGATATTGCGTGCCAAGGCAAAGACAGGCACGTTAGTCAAAGATCATTAGGGTTGACTATGACCTTGATGAAGCTCTATGTCTTCATCTAAACTTGGATGCATACTTCATCCCTGATGAAGTCATTCTCATAGTATTCGAGTGGTCTTTATATAAAAAGATCACATGTGTCTTTATATAAAGACACATGTGTCTTTATATAAAATCACTTGAATACTAATGAAGAGGACTTTATTGGGTATAAAGGTTCATGCACGTGATGTGTATGGTGGCTCCAATTGGACCATAAGCTTATGAATTATTAATGAGTGTTTTAAGTTTATATACTTATATATTTATGAAATTATTTTTCTTTAATAAAACTAATTAGTGGCCGTTAACAAGGTGCACACAGCTAACTAAACAAGTTTCAAACCTTGTTCAACTGATTGAGATAATTTAAATCCTGTTTTAGAGATGTTAGTCAAACAAGGAAGGATATGTGTGACAAAGAAAATAATAACTAAACAAGGTTAGTTGGTGTGAATGGAGTATAGGTGATAAAACCAAATTTTTTTCTGTATTTATCATTTTTATAATAAGTGACTGGCCATGCAGTTACCTTTATTATCTTTTGGGACACCACCAAAGACATCTTGCTCATCAAAGTCTGCAGAAGGAGAAACTGGCTTATGATGGTTGGGTTGAACACTTGTATAAATTGCAGTACTTTCTTTTGTTAAACTTGCAGGTTTTTTWAAAATTTCATGCTGTGAAACAACAGGGACAAGCTTATCTAATCTGTGTAAAGATCTTGTATGCAAGGCGCCATTCCTAAGCTGTGTTGCTTTCTCTTCCTCATCAGCCGGTTTGTTTGTAAATTGACCTGAAACAGCTATTGAATGTCGAAATTCTTGGTTTCTCTCCTGGCCATGGAGTAGTGGAAACCTTAGTTTGTCTGACTCAGCCTGCTGTGCCAGGCTTAATTGTTGAGGTTTTTGCCGTGGTAGAGGCAGAGGCTTCTTATTAGCTGGTTTTTCCACTTCCCTAAGAGGTGCAACAATTGCTTGCAAGCATTCCTCCTTATTACAATATATTGGTTCACTATCTACCTTTGATTTCTGTGCACACTCACCCTCACTGCAGGGCAGTTCTCTACCTTCAACCAGTTCATTCTTAGCATATTTTGTTACTTCACTACAATGTGTTGGCTGATTGGCTAAACTTCTTGGAGCACTTAGTGGTTTTTCCTTACCAACCCTTGGCCTTGGTACAGGCTTTGGGGCACTGGCCTTCTCTGTAAAATAATAAGGCATTTCGGCAGTTGAGTCTCCAGTTTTTTCAATATCTTGTGCTAGATCAATTTGTTCATTATCTCCATTGGTTTCATCAATTTTTCCTCCCTGTGCTTCACAACTGACAACTGTCTCTGACTCGAGATCTGATCGTCGAGGAATCGGAGGTGGCTTCTTTGGTTTCTTAACTTCTTTACATTCGCTGAAAGAACTACTGTTGGTCTCTAAACCTGGCAACGTTTTTGAAAGAAGGTTTGGTTCCTTCGCCTCGATTTGCTTTGTTTTTGAAGAATCTGCAGTTGCTGATGTCGTTGGTGTGTTACTTTCTGTATTATAATCAGCTAGCTGACGAGGAAGTGATGACTCTACGTCTGGAACGACTGGTTTTGGTTTCGTATAAACATCACCTGAACCTAACTTTGGAGGCAGGGGAGGAGGTTCGATCTTGGCTTCCTCGTTCGAATCATCGAAGTTATGTTCATAGTCTTCGTTTCGTTCTTCGAGTCGAGTAGACAAACCAAGTTCATTAGGATCGTTTCCTGTTCGTGCGCATTCTTTATTCACGTGTGGCGCCTGCTTTATTTGTAGATCTTTGCAGAACTTCAACATTCTTTTTCGGTGGTAAGGAGGTGTAATTCCAACCGAATCTAAGTCACTTTCTTCTAGATTTTGAATTAAGGACAGCGAGTTGAATCCATACTTTGTGAGCTTTTCAAAATAGCGTTCAAGTTTCACTTCATTAGTTAGCCATTCCTTTAGTTCTGTCAGTTCTACTTGGTTTGCAGACATTTTGTAAGTTTTGAAAATCTAAGCACCTTGAGATGATATAGAAATGTGTCTCAAGATTTCTATCAGGTCATATTTGTAGTCCATCGAGAGAAACAACGACGTTCCAGCGCTCAAAATATTACTTTTTTACATAATACACAAATTGTTTTTCTGTATGAACTCGTCTTCCGGGCAACTGATTCAAGCTACTGCGCAAACGCACAACCCTAGTCCCCTGATCGAGCATTGGAATTTGATCATAAGTCATGCCACAGGGAGCCCAATTTAGATTGAAGTGAATGGTGAAAATATAATCGGAAAAATTGAATAATAATTATTTTCTTAAAATTCGAGGTCAAGATAATGTCCTCCGTAATACGAAAGAGTAAAGAAATCGATAAAAAGTGCACTAGAACTTTTTTCGCGCGCCTTTCGTTCAGTCGCCATCTTTGAAAAAAAAAACACACTTTCAACCATGATTTCATCGTCTTTTTAAACCTCGAACTCCACTATAAACTTGAACTCCTGAAAATAATTTCAATATGGCTCATTAGAATGCAAGTGTTTGACCTTCGATAAATAATTTTAAGCAAAGAAATCCAAATATACTGATCCTTTTTCTACTTGCTAGAGGATGCTAGGCAGTGTTCTGTGGAATGTTTCGATTCTGTCTTGTTTCGAAGATCTACGTCTCTGACCTTGATGTCTGTTTACGTGCAAGGCCTCCAAGATTAAAAAAAACTTTTCACTTTCGYTTGGGGTGAATCTTATTTCAACCCAGCTATGGGATTAAACTGCAGTATTAAAAGAAATAAAACTGAATGCCCACTGACATTGATACCAACTTTTATTTGATTGGTCTATCTGTCATTCACACCTCACAACCTTTGCTTGTCGCATGCTGACAATGACTACATTATTGACTTATACCTTCCTTTCCTTCAACTCTAGAAAGCAGTATTTTACTAGTTTTTGGAATCAGGAACGGAATCCGGAATCCGGAATAATCGCACGTAAGACTAAACCCGGAATCACCAAAAACACTTTGTATTTCATGAACAAATAAATATTTTCTACTTTTAATGCCTTAAACATAAAAGGTATAGCGGTAATGCGATGAGAATTTCAACGCATTCCTCGTAGGAAAGAATTCGGAGTATAGTTATTTATTCCCTACCCCACCCCCAATCGCCCGACGTCCTGTGCACTACGTGTTGCGCACTACGGGACGAAGAGGTAAGGAAATCTTGAAAACATACCTCTTGTGCTTTTTTAAGATTATGCCTTTGTTGCCTATATATATGATGTCTATGCCGCCTACGTATTTTGCGAAGAACTTCAGAAAAAGCGGCGTGCCCAGTTATGCTCATAACTTGGTTTACAGTCCTTTTGCAATACATATAAACTAAGTTGAACTAATTGCCCTATTTCACTATGACGTCACATCAAAACAATCTATTGTTTAAACGCAAAGGATCATGGTCGTCGGAGGGGGTCAAATCAACGCAAATTCACCGAAAATTGTTCTAAAACCTGTATCAATCCACGAAGAGAAGTAGAATAGCCAGCAAACGCTCAGAATAATTTTTAGTACATATTAACACATTAAATCTGAAAACCAGGTCATTTTAGATTAAACTGTTTCACTAGGAGAAAATGTTGTTGAATTTTCTATTGGATTTGGCGATTCTATCCCCCACATAAACAAGCAGTGACGTCATAGTGAAATAGGGCAATTAATATAAAAAAATTGCAAGGAAGAAAGTATAATCTATCCAAACTGAAAACCGCTAGGTTTAGTATCAAAACCGTTATTCCTATAAATTAAGGGAAAATTGGGTATTACGGATATAATCGGGTATGCTTCCCTATTAAAAAATTTTCAAAATACGACATTAAAAACAAACTACGCAAAAAATTTATGCAGGTTGAAGATGTATCATTTTGGCGATTCCGGGCTTTTTTAAGAAAGTTTTGTGGTTTTTTTTTTTTGTATTTCGTGCGATTATTCTGGATTCCGCCCGATTCCGTTCCGGATTCCGAAATCCGCGTTTTAGGCAAACCCGTGATAAAGGAACAATAATCTTTAAATTAGTTGTGACAAGCTTTATTTATTTTTCACACTTGCCTTCATATCTAAAACTCGATGAATATACACCTAGAAAACTGAGATCTTCAAACGAGCGCAAACTCACAGTATCAAATGATAATGGAACATTACAAGACTGCATGTGCTGCAAAACCCAACGAATTCCCATCAGATATTAGGAATAGTACAATGCTCTTGAGTTTATTAATAATTGCAAAAAGCATTTTCGTTTACTAGCTAAGCAATCGGCTGTCTCATCATTTTACTTTTCATCATTAATTTATCTCAAGCAAGCTATCAAATATCTTCCACTTTTTTATGTATGTATTTAGGTAAACAGTTTGATTAGGACTTTACATTCTTATACAATTATGGTCCTGTTAAGTATCGAAGTATTATGATCATCCGGGTGGATGTAATCCTGAGAAGGACTGTTCGATGTGACTGACGTCTGAGCGGAAGTCATCTTCAGAGTCAAGTGAAGAATAAAGTCATATTGGTCATATTTATACTGCCACGATAATAATAGCCTAAGTAAGACCCATAATAATAGCCTAAGGTTCGTATCCCAGCGAGGTCGGAAATTAATTTTTCCGAATTTAATTCCAAGGGCTTTCGCCCGGAATAACCTCGTTCCCAAGCACTACAACTTACCTATATTATCTTCTACATAGCCTAAGTAAGTAGAGTGCGAGTCGCTGTTTCGGTGTTGTGGGGGGAGTACGTTTTTGTTTGCCAGAGGCAAGCGATAGCAAATGTCGTAATGCAAACGATTCTTGGCAAATTTAAGGTAAAGCTAGCGTGATCACATGGATAGCGTGCGATCGGGTTGACCCATTAGCAATAAATAGCGTTGATCAATATCGTGGTAATTACCGTTCTCATACTCATTAATAATTCATGAGGAAACCAGCCAATCAATGGGCTATTTTTGGGTCATATGATGTTACTTGAAACCTGGTAAAGTGCTGTGAAAGGAATGCATTCAGTCTGGAGTAACTGGAACAAAATCAATTCAGTCCTAGGACTGAATTAATTTTGTTCCAGTTACTCCAAGTCGAATAATTAATGAGGATGAGAAGTAATATTTCAAAGCCTCCAATATCGGACTGGACGGGATTTCAAGTCCGCGCAATTAGTTCCAGTCCTCGGCTGCCTTTGGACTGTAACTAATTGCTTTGACTTGAAATCCCGTCCAGTCCTCATTGTCGGCTTTGAAATATTACATCAAATAGCTCAGCCCTGCTGGTGACCAAAGAGAATGCTAATTTAATTTACATCTTTTATGACGCATTTCGCTACGCCTCAATGCGTTCACAATGTGTATCACAAATAAACTATAATTAAGACGTAATAATTATAATATATATATATATATAGATAACTAGACTAAAATGTTATAATAATGATAATCTAAAACAAATTAATTAATATATAGCTAATATAAAAG